GGTCTGCAACCAATCTTCTATTTTTCCATAGATGCAATATATTGTTTTACGCGAATTTTTTTTACACGTATTCTTCGGGGACGTATCTATCGTGTAAAAACAGAATTAGGTGTAATTAAATTTGTTATACGAACGTTTCCTTTTATAACGTATCTTTGATTACTAATCGACCTATTATCTTCGATTCGTGTCTTGGATACGAAATATAATAAACCTAAGTCAAAATCTGAATCGTGATAGTATCTCACGCTGAGATTCGTCATGTAGAGATATTGTCAAGTGTATTCCTACTCGCTGAAAATTTCAAATCATTTCATATTCGATTTCACCAAAAACAATGCTACCTATGAAAGTTTGTTGAATGCTTTCGTCTTATTTTTTCACATAAATCACTCTTTTATATTACCTATTATAAAGCATCCTGTGTATACATTTTTGAAGAAGAAGATAGTACACTTGTGCACTTACAATCTCTAAATATAATAAATTTTATACAAGCTTTATGTCTCAATGATACAAATACTAACTCATTAGAAACTCACAGTATTCATTGTATTTTTCAATTTTGTCCTTTATTATGATTTCCACAAAAATTTATAAAATGTTCACTTCGTACAATGGTTCACGAGCCAGGTCTTTAGAGGCAAACAATTCGGCATCGGAATTTTCCAATCCATGCCTTCTGCATGTTTGAAGGCCTTCACCTTTATTATCCTGGAAATCTCTAATTTAACGAAATTAGGCGACGGCTCTCAAGACTTGGTTGACAATAGGCCTGAGGGCACCACGTGGTCCGCACACGTTGGAAGCCTCGGGCCCTAGCTAGAGGCCATAAACGGACGATGGGTCACCAGCGCACGGGTGGACCCCACGTACCTTACCTTGGAGGAGAGGGTTTCCTCCACTACCGTCTTCGTTTGGGGGAACCTTCCCTTCCTTCAAGGTGACCGATTTGCGGACCAAGGGAACGCCCTTGGTCAAATCAGCCAATAATATTTGGCGAGCTCCCGATTTTTCCTAAGACCGATCTTAGGAAAATCGAGGAGCAGTGTTCTCTTCGAATCGTCGAAGAGACTAGTTCCAATCGAGTCGTCAAGCAGTTCAAATCGAATCGACAACGCAGTTAGTTCTCCACGAAACGCCGAATAGAGAATCTTAGAGCCTACTTATCGAGATTATCAAGAGTTTAATTCCTGTCGTTGTACAAGACTCTATCGTTCGACTCCAGCCACGACCTTCTTTTCGCTCGTGCAAACTGAAACAGTTGCTCAATATTAATTTGGAGGACAACATTACGAGATCGCGAGACGGCCTTACAACCCGTCGAATTCCACAGAATTACTTGCGAAGCAACGCGACATTTTTTGGGTCCTTCGATCAGAATGTGGATGCGATCCAAATTGAAATAAAATCGATCTTCTTTTATTTCGTTTCCTGAAAATATTTTTACCGATGGATATTGCTGGATTCGCAAAATTAAGGGTATTATATCGACAACTTTTGGATATTGTATTTTAGTGGTATTCTTTGCAATTTCCTTTTTAGCGATTTACCAGGCATGGAAAGGTTTCTTTCGCAGAAATTAGTGGACTTGGTTTTAAAATCGCAAGTATAAAGCGTGATTTGTAATTTTGTGATGTATAATCTTACGTAAGGAGATGCCACGAAGGGCCCACCTGAGATTTAGATGGAACTTGGTAGGCTTAAAGAATGGCCAAAAATATTAAACACGAATTTTTTTAACATGTTCGTCGCCGCGTCGCCCATATCTGGGTGACGAGAATGCTTCCGTGGGGGCCCCCTTCACCCAAATATGGGTAACGCTCTTCTTGTTCAAGTTAAATAGGATTTTCAGCTGAATTTTTAAAAGGAATTTAATGGAATAAGCATTGAATTATAAATATAGGATATACAACATAAAAATATGAAAAATATACACATTATACTTTTTATTAATTTATATTTAGGATAAAATATTACATTACACTATGTCGCGTGGTATTCGTTAAAACAGTCTAAACATATTTGACGTGATTTTGGACAATTGGAACAATAGGTCGTAGTGTTTTTACATTTTTCGTAATTGTCTGTCAATATGTTTATGAGTGGTAAAACTTTACCAAGTCTGCTACTCTGTTCTATCGTTTGGTTATTTGCAAAATGCAAGTTTGCTGATAGTAATTCAAAACGATTACAGGAAATGGAAAATTGTAAATAGAGTCCATTGACCAACATCTAACTAGCGGTGTCTGTACTAGACCCATCCAAATCATCAGTCCGGTAACGTTCTAGCGCTCAGACAGTAGGATTTGGGCCCCGTGAGAAACTCAACCGAATCGCGTTGGGCGACGAACGTGTTAATTGCGCTAACTCAAGTCTAAGAGGGCAGGACAGTTGGAAATTTTTAAAAAATTGATCTTTTTTTTCTCAAATAATAGTTGGAAGTCTTAAAAGTAATATACGAAAGGTCCCAGCCTTTAAAACAAATTAGTTTTGGATGTAAGAAAGTCAAAACTGATTCGTGATTTTGTATGCCGTAACGCGTCGCTATATATACAGGACGTCTTAGCAAAGATAGTATAACCGGGAACGGGGTGATTTTACATACAGAAACGAATCGAAAAGAAAGGATAAAATTTTTGAATTGAAAGCATCCTTCTTGGAGAAAATTGACTTTGAATATTCACCGAGTACTTAAAATGAAGCTTCGAATCAAAAAATTTTATTCTTTTTTCCGATTCGTTTCTGCATGTGCAATCATTCCCTTTTCGATTGTATTACCGTTGCATGGACACCCTGTATAACTACTCGACGCAACCGTCTATCAGCATGGAACCGATTCTATGGGTCATAACATTAGAAAAGTCGAGGAGTTATTTAACATTTATTTAATATTTACCGACAAAAGTTAAGAAACAACGTAATTATATGGGAATTTTCAGGGTTGGTTTCCCCCTTTCAATTTCAACGATGGCTGATAAAAAAATACGCGTGAAATATATTTTGAGAACTATTTCTCAAATAAATTTCATCAAAATTGGTGTGTACGAGTTGAATAGGGCCCCTTGTTTGTATTAACCCTTTGCACTCGACGATTTTTTGGCTAGAGAAGAGTAGAAATTCAAAGATTCTGTACTAAAAAACTGACGACACTTTTTTGAGCAGTAAATAAAAAATTGTATAATAATAGAATTGTAGAATTATTTTATTTCGATACCTCGCACAATATTACATTAAATTTGATATATTAATTAATATCAATCTTCCAAATTTTATGAAATGGTGACTGAAGCTCACCTCTCGAGTGTAAAGGGTTAATACGTTAAGTGCCACGTCGGTCCCCAGGGACCGGCGCTAGACTTTCCGTTCGGGCCCGACGGTCCTCAGGAACCGGTCCAGACTAGGACCAAAAGGTGCTAACTTTTGGTGTTAAATTCTTCGCCATCTTTGGACCTAATGTTTGGGAATTTTTGTTATAACAATTGGTACAGTATCTCCGAATTTTATGAACATTTCACCCGCTGCCAATGGTCCACTTGACGGCCGAATCTGGGCCTTAACTGAACGGCAAGCAAAACAGAAATGGGGATTTAACGTGTTAATATACGAGAAACGAATTTCACTATGAGATGGTATGCAAATATAATGTTTATGTAGGATATTTTTTGACTTCCCCAGGTATAGAGGCCCGGTTAGCGTCTGGCGGCCAGACGAGCCTGGGGAAGTTGGGGCCAGGCCATGTGAGGTAGCCTCGCTCAACCCCGGTTTTCCCCATTGTAAACCGGGGGTGACGCGTCCGTGGGCACCTCTCGGGAAGGGTCCCCGCGTGGGTGACCCTTCGGAGAGCCTAACCTGAAGGAGGAATCCCTTCCACCTCAGAGTGTTACGTGGAGGGAGCTTTCTCCTCCTTCGGGGGAGGCTCTTGCCTTCCAGACGGGGTTAAAAGAGCCCTCTCTGGAAGATAGGGAGAGTTTTGAGATAGTCATTAGAGAGTTGAGGTAGTCCTTGAGAGAGTTGAGACCGAGAGTTGTGATTGCGAGAGTTACGCGTTATCGAGAGTCGAATCGAAAATACAGACTGCAGTGAATTTGAGTATTCCGAGGTACTCTCCAGCGAGTAGAGACTGTGTGACTCTACATTTATTTGTCAATTGAATATCTCATATAAGTCCCTTTTTTACTACTTTTCGTGGTAATAGTTGATTGTGGCATAGAATGTGTATATTTACGTAATGTATAAAAGAAGATAGAACAAATGAGGGAGTAGTTGGATAGGTCAGTTGCAATTCACAATTCATTGAGAGTAAACGTGTGAACGAGTATCGTGAGAAAGAGTAAACATAATTAGATATATTTCATCGATAATTTATACCCTGTGTAGTAATATTGTTAAAATAATATTTAAGCCTTTGCACTCGACGAGCTTTTCGTTACAAAAACATAGTAATGCGAAGACTTTCTGTCATAAAGTCGACGATATTTTAAAAACGGTAAATAAGGAGTGTAAATTAATTGTACGACGAAGAATTATTTTACCACGATATTCCACGCGTTGTTGGGCAATTTTAAATTCGAGATATTAATTAACAACGATCTTTAGAATATGGTTAACTCGAGTGCAGAGGGTTAATATATTCATATTCAATTCACATTAATATTCACGACTAACACTTTTCACTCCTTTACGTCGCAACTTGATTAAAGTACAAATGTTACAACTTTTGCATTATATCAAGCCTCTATAAATCTAATATTATGTAAAAAATAGAATATTTTTCGTTATATCAATTTTGACTATATTTCGAATTTAGTATCTAGAAAAATAATGTATTCCTAAAAATTGTAATTTTATCTTTTTATTTTACTATGTAAACAGAATTTTATTCTACATATGTAAATTCACTTGAAGTTATATGGCAGTTTTCACTGATTTGTGCTATGAAGATAGTGAAAATAATAATACAAATAATGAAATAATACGAAAGAAATATTATGTTGCAGGAGAAAGTGATTCTGGAAGCAGATACGGTTTTCTTGTTAATGAAGAAAGGATTTCCTATATCTCGCAATGTAAGGGCTCAATGGATGTTAGAGCATTTAGATACTGTGATAAGCATTCAGTGCTCAAATTTTAAAACCAAGGAAGCAGCAGAACTGGAAACCGTATCGGTGTTACCAAAAAATAAAATCGAATCTTGGTCTTCTGAAACGAGCCATCAATATCTTTACAAAGTGACTTCTACAACTTCAGTGATATTCCTGGCGCACAAATATAGGATGGTGTTTAATTTAGACTTAAGTCCATCTCTTGCAACTGTGGTAAGTATTTTTAAATGTAACAAAATAATTAAAATGAAAATTTTCTCGTATTTTCAACGATAGAAATTATGACTTGAATATAAGTTTATTTAACACGTTGACTGCCACGCGCATTTTACGTGGTTTGCCCATGGCGCCAACATAAATATTTTATTATGCGATGCATACTATGTTGAAATATTATTTACAACAGATAAGGTGAGTTGTATAATCGCGTTTAATATATTTTTCGTGGCGGGGTCACCGGTGCCCCCCGTGACCATTTTTGCCATTATCAATTGTTTAAAAAGCAACTCGAAAAAATATTTCAATTCCCGATTTTAGGATGAAGTTAGCGATGTATTTAGTGAAATGTTCCGATGACGAAGATTGCATTTCATCGAGCAATTACGTACAGAAAAAACGTCGTCACGAATTTAAAAAGAAACCTGGAAGTGTGCGAAATGTAAGGCGATTTTGCAAAGTGTGCTATGAAAATAATTCAAATCAGCTAGGAAGAATGAGAGTAAAGAATTGCACTAAAAAAGTGGCGACATATTGTGCCGACTGTTTTGGTTCACCTTTTCTTTGTATAAATAAAATTATTTTTGCATGTTATGTGTGGCATTAATTTCTTCGAACCATTATAGTAACAATGGTACTATTTAAAAATTTATCTGTATCGATATTTACTCTAATTATGTATTTTTACTAATGGTCGCGTCGCCGGTCACCGGTGACCCCCATGGCAGTCAACGTGTTAATAAAATTAAGTCGAAAGTGTCAAAATTAATAATTCATACAGTCAGGTCGATAAAAATAAATTTATTTCTTACAATAAAAATGTATAACATTTGTATAAGATTAGAAAGGAAAGACAGAAGTATCGTAGAACATGGAAGAGGTTTGATATAATTATACAATTAATTGTTCATGTGTAAATAATAAGTTGGATGATCGATATAGCAGTCTTTACAGTAATAAATTAGGAAAAAGTGTTATTGTGATATAATTGGTAAAACATAAAAATTTGGGTTTTATATTTTAATTATTATACCACTACTTATGGTTCTTAATAAAATGATACTTAAGGAGACCAAAAATTTAAAGGAATGAAGCTAATTGTAAACTAAGTTGATGCAATGGAGTTCATTATGTTTTTAAATTCACAGTATGAGATAGAGATAATTCATATAATAATCTCATCTTGAAAAATAAAATTTCATATGAAATATTTTTAGTAATTGAAATTATATTATGCTTTTAATTAATTGTTTTCTATCACATTTTTAATTATATATAATCCGTATTTTATAAACTTACTAGTTATTAATAATTATTAATAATATTGATACCAATGTATCGGTTACGGACCATGCTATACTATAATAATTTAAATATTTGCTATTAATGACATCAATGATTTCAATTTTAAATAAAGGTACATGCAAAAGTTTTAAGTATTTCATATTAGATACAAAATTTCGTATATTCGGTTCTTTATTAAATGAAAAATAAAAATAAGAGATAATAAAATGTTTTTACAAATATATAATATACAGACTATATATTATCCCATCATAAAGCTAATATCTAAGTGTCTTCTTGTTTTTAATAATATGTTATTAATATGTTATTAAATATTTTTAATAATATGAGAAATGTCTAAAGCACAATTTAAATGGCTCCAAAATAATAATATGGCGAAAATAAAAATTTTGGTTTGGTCAGCTTTTAAAATTTTTTCAAGTTCGCCGAGGAACTTTTTTCTAAAAGGTTTAAAATTTGTAGTATATCTGCATTTGTTTGAAAAATTTCCGATCGTCATTTTAAAATCTAGTTAGGTGGTATCCCGATTGTCATTTTTAACAACAGTCATCCTAAACTTCAGTCGTTTAGCAACGGGGAAAGTAAGAAAAAGTAATAATGTCAAGAAAAGCGAAAGAACCGACAAGTGAAGAAAGAGAAATAATACTAAATTTGAATAAAATGCGAAAATCCTATAGCGAAATATCACAAATTGTTAACAAAAGTCGTTTTACTATTAGAAGCATTGTAAAACGATTTATAAATCAATCAAATTTTCATAGTACGAATCGAAGTGGTCGTTCTCTCAAGTTATCTATTAGAGGAAAACGTAAAATTGTAAACGAAGTGAAGAAAAATCCTAAATTAAACTCCTCGTAACTCAGAATGATATTAAATAAAGAGTGTCAAAAAGAAGTAAGTTCGAAAACTGCGCGAAGGGTATTAAAAACTGCTGGATATTTTGCGTGTGTTGCGCGAAGAAAACCATACATATCGGGAAAAAATCGAAAGATGAGGGTTTAATTTGCCAAAGAATTTATAACGAAGGATTCAACAGTTTGGAGCAACATACTGTTTTCAGATGAAAGTAAATTTAACATATTTAAATCCGATGGTAGAATATTAGTTTGGAGAAAGTCAACTCTTTCCAGATGTTTCTTCTATTACTCATTCACTCTTAATAACTACTCGCACATTCTTCAAAACATTTTTTCAAATATCATTCACACTTGGTCACATTATATTTATATCACACATTGCACAATTATAGAACAGATGAGTTTCATTCATTCGCCTCACACACACACATAGAACCAAGACTCACAGTATCGATGTCAAATTCTCGAGAAGCAAAATCGAAATCGAAACATAAATTTAAATAAATTTTTACCATAATATGTAGTAACATCATTCCACCCTTATAACTATTTCAATTTTCAGAGAATGATTCGCATGATGTGATTCATAGTTTCATTCACAATCGTACATTTTCTTTTCGTGACGGCTAGAATATGACGAAACAAAATTTTGAAAATTATGTTTACGTATGATTTTATGGCCATTTTTTAAAACAAGTTTTTACTCATCCGAAGAGTCATGACATTTAATTATTATGCGGCTTGTTGACCATGGGCAATATTTTTATTTTCAATGTTACGAATTCAAACAGATAAATTTGTTGATGTACTGTATGCAAAATATAATATTGCAAAATTGCTTTGAATTAACAAAATATGATCGATAGTTAAGGCATTTAATAGTCATCAGTAGTCTCAATTGTTTTACGATCTTTTTAATTAGACGATAGCAATAGTCACATATTTACACGCATTTAAATGTTTTTGTGCTGGGAAAATTTGTATACATGTTCTCAGTTCTATATATGAAGATTTTTATAACAGGTTTTTTCTTTCTATAAACAGTCTTACTGAAATTATAAATACAATGTGTTATTGATTTAAAATATATTTATTAAATAATGATATTTTTAATAAATAGTATTTATTATTGTTGTAGGATATACAACATGGCGAAATAGTTATAGATGAAGTATATATGGCAACGAAACGTTTCTTGGAAAATATTATTAGACCTGTAAGTAATAATTTTTTATTTTTCTACATAAGGAACGAAAATAATTATTTTTAAGTTAATATAAGTTTACCATAAATATGGAAAGCAAAATGAGGTTCGAAATATGTCTAATCCAAGTTTAATACAAATGTGGACAATAATATTTATATAATATATAAATAATAATGTAATATAATATAAATATGGATATATATTTTCGCTATTCAGTAGACAGTGCTGTCGCGTTTTCAAAATGTCAAGATTCGGTCAATATGTATTACGCTATTATTTATTTTAAAGTACCCTAGTCCAAGATTTATAATTAATTTAAGATAGAAAGAGAATATGAAAAGTACTTTAATTTAGGATTCATTTAAAGTCATGCTTACCAAAATTAACTAAATGCAACCGATTATTATTAGCGTTTGTTTTATTTAATATTACTTAATATGAATTTTAAATAAAACGAAGGTCACTTGTCCCACGAAGTACGTGGTTTCACATTTTTTGAAATCGTCGCTACTTTTACTCTTTTGCTTCAATTAAGGCAAATTTAAATCACCTATGACCTGATAAATTTAGAATCGTATTGGGAGGAATCGACTAGAATAATATTGCGGCACTTAATACAACAAAAATAAGCTTTATTAACGTAATGAGTAACGAATTAATGTAATACAATGGTAATTATGCCGAATAATTATATAACCGAATTTTAAGACTTCTGATTTAAAACTGACTACTGACTTCATATTGACTTTCAGTACTGGCTTTAAAACACTGACGATTCTAAACTCTAAAAATACTGACTTACTCGCATCCTTGGACCCCTATTTAATTTTGCACTCTGTCTTCTTTCTTACTCAGACTTTCTTCTTCAATTACGCATTTTCCACGCGATCACGATGGGCCAAGTACTTCAAATACTCAGGATGCATTCGTAAACTTTCACTTGTTTCTCGCATTCGACTGTGTCATAAATATCCTTTGCACACGGTTACTTTCGTCCTATGTCTCAAATTTCAGGTCTGCACGCGTTCGAATCCTATATAAATGAACGTTAATTGATATTTTCGTAAACTTGTTAAAGCATGTATGTAGGATCGCGTTTGGGTGGATTGAGTAAAATAGTGTTGTTTGCTTCTTAACCCATTTGCATCATGGCTCTACTTAAGGTGCCGTGTTCAGGCATCAGCGACGTTCAACTGACGACTAGCCCGTATCGGCAGTTAAAAGGATTTTCACGATAAAAGTAAAACTTGTTAAGAATATAATGAACCGATGTAGATGAGATGCTCACAAAAGGGATCAAACGTGATCTGTGTCATATGAAGAATACTCAGCGACTGGTAGTGGAAAAAAATGTCAGTTCGCGGAATATTCCGCGCTCGGTGATAGGCGATGGTCGTAACTCGCGGATTATTCCGCGTTCGGTGATAGACGACAGTCGTAGCTCGCAGAATATTCCGCGCTCAGTGATAGACGACAGATCTGGCTCACGGATTATTCCGCGCTCGGTGATAGGCGACAGTCGTAGCTCGCGGAATATTCCGCGCTCGGTGATTGACGACGGTCGTAGCTCGCGGAATATTCCGCGCTCGGTGATAGGCGACAGATGTGGCTCACGGATTATTCCGCGCTCGGTGATAAGCGACTGTTGTAGCTCGCGGGAATATTCTTGTCTATTTTGTACAGTATGACAAATTGTTATTTAGTAGCCGAAATATGAAACTAATTCAGCGTTCAAATAAATCTGGAATTACATAAATGAATTTGTTATTGTTGCAGTTTACGATACCAGGAAGCAAAAGAATAATGCAACCAGAAATTTATGTAACGATAATAGCTCATACTCCATTTTTTATAAGCCCTGCCCAGCAAGTTCTGGTACAAGGATGGCTAGTAAATGTGGATAACGTTAATCAACTTACGAATTTCATAGAGAATCAACTTCATATATTAGAAGAAAAGGTAGCGTGTGTTACCGCTGTAGCTAGTCAACAATTGGAGAATTTAAAGGCTGAAAGTGAACGATTAGTCGGAGGGCTGTTCGAAGAGAACGGCGCTTGTTTAAACAAAAATAATAATACCTATATTGCCAGTACCTCAATAATCTCTCCGGAATCTAGTTTTATCAATATGTTGAGGTACGGCATGTTGGCGCTTACTCTACTACCGGAACATAGTTGTGCACGTAAGTTTCATGAATATATGTATAAATAAATAATAGATAAAGTTAAAAAGTTCTGAGCGTTTTTTCTCTTTATTTCGACGATGAAATTAACAAAGTTAGAATTTTCGGATTTAGATCAAATATGCGCCGTTTTGTTCGATAACTTTTGTCCATTTTGAAGGCAATTTCATAATTCCGCGATTGAAGAAGTCCTCGCCCCTATTGGTAAAAAACTTGACCAGTTCATTTTCACAAGCCTCTCTTGAGGCGAGTTTTTTACCATCAAGAAAATTGTGCAAATGCTTGAGAAGGTGATAATCGCTTGGCGCCAGGTCTGGGCTATACGGCGGGGGCGATATAACCTCCGATCCAAGCTCTCGGAGCTTCTGGCGCGTCGTTAAAAATATGTGCGGCCTGACGTTGTCTTGATGGAACACAACACCCTTCCTATTGGCCAATTCTGGACGCTACTCGTCGATCGCCTGCTTCAATCTGGTCAGTTGTTGACAGTATAGGTCCGAATTGAGTGATTGGCCCGATGGGAGCAGCTCATAGTGGAGGATTCCCTTCCAATCCCACGAAACACACAGTAAAACCTTCTTGGTCGTTAATCCGGGCTTGGCGATCGTTTGGGCTGGCTCACCGCGCTTGGACCACGATCTTTTTCGCCCGTTGTTCTCGTGTATGACCCATTTTTCATCCCCAGTCACCATCCGCTTCAAAAATGGGTCGATTTCGTTACGCTTCAGCAATGAATCGCAGGCATCGATTCGCTCCAAAAGGTTCTTTTGCGTCAATTCGTGTGGCACCCATACATCGAGCTTCTTCTTGAGACCAACCTTATGCAAATGGTTACAAACGGTTTTCTGGCTAATCTTCAGTTCCTGGGCAATGGAATAAGTGCTCGCATGCCGGTCTGACTCAACGATTTCCATGATTTTATCAACATTTTCGACGATTGGCTTACCAGAGCGTGTCTCATCTTCGACGTCCATATGACCAGAAGGGAAGCGTTGGAACCAACGCTTTGCTGTTGCATTCGATACTGTATTGGGTCCATAAACAGCACAAATTTTTTTGGCCGCCTGCTCCGCTTTTACCCCTTGGTCGTAGTGGTACTGAAGAATGTATCAAATTTTCTCCTTTGTAACCTCTACTTTGGAACGCTCTAACACACAACTGAATTCACTAAACACAAAATTGTCAAAGAACTTTTTTTAAAGCGTTATGTCGCCTTTAAGTCGCAGTATAGAATGACAAGATGCAACGTATACATCGTGAGACATGGCTCACTAAAGCCATCTAACGAAAAACGCTCAAAACTTTTTACTTCACCCATTATTAAGATAAGGGGAAAGAATATATTATTATTTAGATTTAATATGGAATATAAATATGCATAAAATATAATTTATATTTATGAGAAAAGGGACAATCTTTAAATTCTTATTATGTTTGCAAATGAAAATATTATTGTACCTTATTGTATAATGGGTATCCTATATACTATATTTGCCAAGTGATTTTTGCAAACGCGTAATAAGATTAGTGTTTCAAATTTGAAATATGTACATTGTTACTATGCTACAATTATTGGTTTTTTAATGTAACTGTGAAAAACAGTAAGGTAAATAAAAATTTAA